AACACGACACACAGAGAACACAAACATATACCTAAATACAAATAAATCTTAAAACAAGTAAAAACCAAAAAAACTTAAAAATTCATGAGAGAAACAGAGAGTGAGACAGACAGACAGACAGACAGACAGACAGACAGACAGATAGATAGATAGATAGATAGATAGATAGATAGATAGAGAAAAGCTGGGTGGTGGTAGCACATGTCTTTCATCCCAGCAGAGGCAGGTGAATCTCTGAGTTCGAGGCTAGCCTGTTCTACAGAGCAAGTTCCAGGACAGCCAGGGCTACACAGGAAACCTTGTCTCAAAAAAACTAATAAATAAATAAATAAATAAATAAATAAATGAACTAAAATTAAAAAAAAAATTTAAGTAAAAGAAAGCTCCTAAATGTGGGAAACGCCCACATTTTTAGTGCAATGAAAAATGATGATGGATCAATATCACTTTTAGGGTATCAAAATGTGACCAACAGGAATCTGAAAATCTCCCCTCCTTTCTTCTTTTCTACTAAATCAGCACGTGAGGTAGGACAGCTGCTGTGCCCCAAGAGAGACACTCTGTGCACAGGAGGAGACATCACTGGCAGAGAAGGGAATTCCGAAAATGCTTCCCCCTGACCCTGAGAAGCATCCACCTGGGTACTGGTTGGTCTGCACAGAGACTCACCTGCGCCAAGGCCAGGGCGGAGTAGGGCGTGTCTTCGGCAGGTTTCACCACCACGGTGCAGCCAGCTGCCAGGGCGGCCCCCACTTTCCGGGTGATCATGGCACTGGGAAAATTCCACTGGAAGAACAGAGGAAGGAAGAGAGTGTGGGCACTGCCTCAGGAGCCAATCAAGGCCCGCCAGAGCCAGTCATAGCCCCATTGCACAACTGACTGGCAGACCTGTTTGTTGCCGTGCAGGTGAGCTCTCAGAACACCTGACCCTGGTCAGTGTGAGGGACTCAGGAGGTCCATGTCCACAGAAGCAGGACACAGTCGGGGGGTTCGATACGGCACAAAACTGTCTAGACCAATGTGTTCCGTGAGGGCCATATTTTGTAGGATGTATAGTCTCTGTCACAGCTTTGCATCTCTGCAGTTGCCTCATAAAAACTGGCTCACAAGTGGACCCCGTGTGTACTAATAAAACTTTATTAATAAACACAGGGGCTGAGCTAGATTTGGACTGAGGCTCTTTAAGTAAAATATTGGTGATGTGACTTTGAACATGGCTGATGACTTACTTCCTTTCACCCACATATTTATAGGGACTAGATATCCATGGATCTATAATAATTTCACTTATTTATGTGTATGTGTATATATGTATGATATATGTGTGTACATGCCTGGATCCCCTGGAGCTGGAGTTACAGGCAGTTTGTGAACCATCTGATATGGGTGCTGGGAACCAAACTCAGATCTTCTGGAAGAGCAGCCAGTGCTCCTAACCGCTGAGCCATCTCTCCAGCCCCACAGTAACTTATTTTAACAAACTCCTGAGTAATGTGTATTCTGTCTCAGCTATGGTTCTAAGTATTTTGAAATTCCCATGAACTAAATCCTTATGACATCTCAACGAACTCATTGTTATTATTGTCTCTATTTACAGACTTGGGGGAACTGAGGCATTACAGTTAAATAAGGTGTCCAAGATCACATGACCAGCAAAAGTGAACTTCAGGGCAGGCTTCATCAGTCTAGGTAGCAAGGACGATTATCTAAAGCAGTTCTGGACAGGGGAGGCCAGCAGCTGTGAAAAACAGCTGTCAAACCCTGGAGAGAAGCTGGCACCAAGCCCCTCCAGGAAGGCCCAGTGGGAGGAAGGGGTATACTGCAAACCCAGCTGGGCAGAGGTAGCATCTTAATTCACACCCTTGGACCTCCAGGACCTGGCCCTGTGCCTACCCACAGAAGCACAAATGCTTTGCTATTGATGATAATCACAAAGTAAACATATCTCTTTAACAATGGCCTAAATAATAAAGAGAAAATATCCCCTTCAAAGTCCATTAAAAAAATGACAAAATTTCAAAGGTCTTTGCGGAGGAGCTCGGTAATACCAGGATGGAGTCTCTATGCCAAGTCAGAAAAGCCTCTGCGGGTCACCCGGTTTTTGAAGGCATTGGAAGGCATGTACTCCCATTTCTGCCATGACATCTGACGCTGTCAGGGAGAATGTGGAAACACACCTCTACCTCCAGGGAAGGAATCAGGAAGCCAAGGGCAGGTGGCAAAGCCAGGAGGATGACGGCCACCACACCTGTTCACTGGGAAGGAGACGCCGTTTCCCACCATCCCACCCGGGCTCCCACCCCGGATTGTGCCGGTCTTGCCACATACCGGTGTGATGATTGCGGCCACACCAACGGGCTGCTTGAGGACCAGCCCCCGTTTATCCTTGGCAGAGGTATAGATGATGTCTCCATAAATACGACGAGCTTCCTCGGAGAACCATTCTAGGAAAAGGGCTGAATACAGAATTTCTCCCTGGGCCTCTTTCAGTGGCTTTCCCTAAATCAAACCAGAAAAGGTCATGTGCATTGTCTTCCAAAAAAGGAAAACACAGCTCTGTGTTTCTAAGTTATTCAAAGCTTCGAGAAGAAGAGAAAAGCTCAGAGGCTGCTGAGAAATGACTACCCTTGGTGCAAGTTTTAGGGATTGAAATGATGGAGGTAAGAAGAATCGCCAGCATATGTTCACAGTAGGGGAGGACACAGAGCACTGTATATTCTAAGGCTTCCCAAATGCTAAATCATGGTGTGAAATCTGATTCTGTGGACGAACTAATGGTGCATTTTACAAACAAAAATAATGAGGAACGCCTGGTGGCGGTGGTGGCGCACACCTTTAACCTCAGCACTCGAGAGGCAGAGGCAGGCGGATCTCTGTGAGTTCGAGGTCAGCCTGGTCTACAGAGCGAGATCCAGGACAGGCACCAAAACTACATAGAGAAACCCTGTCTCAAAAAACAAACAAACAAACAAACAACAACAAAAAAAAAAACAAAGAAAGTGAGGAAACTAAAAACGGGTTAATAGAGAAAAATAACTGGGTCACAGCAGCTGAAGTTAAAACTACACAAGATCAAGCCAGTCAAAATTCTAACACTGGGGCCCAGAAGCTCCCATGGCTAGCTAGGAGATATAAGCAGTTGATAGCTGGTGGGGGAGGGGTGGCCACGTGTCGGTTGCCCATACCCCAGTGTGTGGCCTCACACCCATGACCAGCACTATCTGGACTAAGGTCACCAAAAGTGAAATGAAGAGGACATGGAACCGGGAGGGGACATGTCGAAGGGATGCCAGGGGAGTCGGAGTGGGGGGAGGGGGAGACTGGTAGACTACAAATATATTGTATACATGTATGAAATTCTCAGGAAATAAACGAGCAATATTATATTTCAAAAAAGATAAAAAAACTGGCTCAGTGGTTAAGAGCACGGGCTACTCTCCCAGAGGACCAGGGTTCGAATCCCAGCACCCATATGGTAGCTCAAAACCATGTGTAACTCCAGTTCCAGGAGGCCCAATGCCCTTTCCTGGCCTCATTTGCACTCACATGTGTACATACATACATATACATGAATAAATAATAGCATAAGTCTTAAAAAATAAATAAAAACCGGAATGATTAAAAAAATCATTGTTCATATAGTTCCAAACAGACCTATTTCCTAAATATTGACTTTTGTCATTTTTAATTGTATGTGTCTGTGGGGCAGTGTGTGCACATGAGTGCAGATGCCCACAGAGGTCAGAGGCATTGGATCCCCTGGAGCCGGAGATACAGGCAGTTGTGAGTTGCCTGATGTGAATTTGGGGAACTGAACTAGGGTCCTCTGCAAGAGTAGTGTACGGTCTCAATTGCTGAGTCATTTCTCCAGCCCTCCAAATCTATTTTTTGCAAGTTAGTAACACATATACTAGAGCACATATATTTTGTTTTAGCAAATGTGTTTTCTGGGCACCATGACAACTCAGTCCCTTTGTCATCGAAGGATCGAATGTTTCTAAGCTGCAGGACACCAGCCAGGGGAAGCCTTGACTGTCTAACCACCAAGCTCTGGTTTAACCACCCCGGGACTCTTCCTCACGGCAGCAAGCTTGTGAACTCACACTCTCGGCTGTGATGATCTTGGCAAGGTCATCCTTATTCTGTATCATTAAGTCATACCATTTGCGAAGCAATGAACTCCTCTCCTAGAAAAGAAATGAGACAGAAGCAAATGAACTGAAGGGAAAGAAAGCCACCCCACAGCCTTCCCCCCTCCCAAAGCAGCAGCTGTGTGTGCAGCTCACATGGGGCAGAACAGTTCACTTTCACTGTCTGCTTCACCAGGCTATGGGATGTCTCAATAGCTGGTGAAACACTCTTGGGCTTGTCTCTGGGTGCTCTTCCCAGAAGAGATGAGCATCTGGCAGGGCAAGGGAGTGACAGAAGGGACAAACTGGAGTAAGTTATAATGACACACATGTATGAAGAAGCCACCAGAAAATGAAGGAGGAGGCTGAGGCAGGAGGATTACTTGGACCCAGAATTTTGAGGCAAGCCTTTATCAATTCAATGATGAATATATGTCTGAGGTTGGTGTCATTCTAGACACAAGACGTGGTCTAGGTGTGGTAGTCCATGTCTCTAATTCCAGCACTTAGAAGGTAGAGGATCTCTGTGAGTTCAAGGCCAACCTGGTCTACATTGTGGGTTCTAGGGCAGCCAGGAATACATAGTGGGGAAAAAGGGTGTGTGTGTGTGTGTGTGTGTGTGTGTGTGTGTGTGTGTGTGTGTGTGTGTGTGTTTGGGCACAGACACCAAAACACACATCCAGAAAACACTATCTGAATAAATACAAAGAAACAGCCATCTATAAACCATGTAAAAGGTCTGGAATAAATCCTGCCCTCACAGTCTTCAGAAGGAGCCGCTGTCGGAATGAATACTTTGGCTTTAGACTTCAGTTCTAAGACAGGACATTTTTGTTTGTTAAGCTCCCCGGTTGGCAGCCTCTTGTTACGGCAGCTGTAGAATGCTGACAGAGACCCCCCCTCCGTTTATGATGAAGTTATGTCCTAATAACCCACTGGTGGTCAACACCATCCCAAGGAGAAAGCGCTCCTAACACAAGTGAGCGACGGAGCAGGTCTAGCTCAGCAATACAGTGGAAAGTCAAGAGCTTCCTCTCATAGCAAGTTGTCTGGAAGCCATGGCTTGCTGCCGTAGCCTGGCATCAAAAGGGAGACCCCACTGCACATGCATGGCTCACCCAAGAAAAGATCAAAAGCCTCAATTCCACTGAAAATGCACTGCTCTTAAACTATCATGACGTGGAAAAATCCTCACTTGACTAATAATTTGAAGATTGCCTGTTCACCCTAACTAAGGGGCTGTGTGGACACACAGACTCAAATAGAGCTTCAGAAAGGCGGAGGAGTGGATGGCCACATGGGGCTCCCGCCCCAGGCCCTTCCCTAGACCCACCTAGTCTCTTCAGCCACAACATGACTCACATGTCCGCCTCACAGGGCCTTCAAAAGACTAAACACATCCCTTAGGAAGCACCAGCAACAGTGCTCAGCCTTCAGTTACCCGCAGCCGCATTCCCTGAACTGGTGACAGCTCCCTGAGACAGCAGAGGAACAAAAACATGCCAACCCACCTTAGACCTCTGACTTTCAAAAAAACTATGAAAGAAAACTCACATTGCCACAAGTTGCTATGTTTGTGGAGATATTTTTTTTCTCTTTTTTTGCAGCAATCTAGGAAACTAGTACATTAGCATTTGAGGTTGTGGATAAATATCAGTTCCCTTCCTCTCGCGCTGTGATGGTTTGAACCTGAAGTGCCCCCACAGGCTCACAGGTATTCACCTGGTGCCTAGAGGGTGGGTGGCGCTGTCTTGGAAGGCTGTGGCCCTTTTAGAGGGACAGCTGGGCTGGAGGAGGTGGGCCACAGTGGAGAGGAGGAGGCTTCAGGGTTACTGCCCGGTCCCACTTCTGGTGCTCTCTTCTGCTTCCTGGTGTCTAGTGGCCACATGTGGAGATCCACCATGCGGTCCAGCCACCATGCCATGCTTTTCCCACCGTCATGACCCAAATCCCCCTGAATGGTGAGCCAAATTCAATTCTTCATCCCTTAATTGTTTCTGCTAGGTATTTGGTCACCTGGAAAACTAACTCATCCTCTAGTTCACAAGGAGGAAAAAGGTCGTAAACACATGAAAGACTGAGGTTGATGACAGGGTGTGGGGACCAGTTCTGCTGCTTCAGAGAAGGGAGGATAATGGAAGCCTGCGTGACGGGCAGGCCCAGAGGCAGACGTTACACATGAGCTAGACCTTCAAGAACACATCGTTTGTGGTGGTGGGAGGTGAGGGGGCTTCGGGAAGGGAAGTGAGTCCGACCCGGAGAAGGTAAAGGAGGGTGAGGCTCCTTCCCTGCTTGTCCTCCACTGCTTCCTGCAGGGAATCTGCAGAACTTCCCCCTCAGTAACAATCCAGCACCCGGGAACGCCTCCTTCAAGAACGAAGTTCCCCTAAGAAGTCCAAGGCTCTTGTAATCTTGGAGCTGAAGCATGCTGATGTTTGAAGGACTGAGGCACTTAGGATGGAGGCTACGGTGGAGGACAGGATGATGTTGGCAATTCAGAGGGGTCCTAACACCAGGTAGTTGGTTGCCAAACTACCAGCAGGACTAGAAAAGCTCCCTGTACCCCTGCACTGTAAGCCACTGTGAGTCTGTAAAAAGATGCTAGAGAGTCCAGGGATCAGGTCCGCCCCTCCTCCTCTCCCATCATCCCCATAGCTGAGTGCATGCACAGCCCCTGCATGTGTGACTTTAATATCTGCCCCTCTAGCCCAGGCTCACCTTCCAAGTCCAGCTCATCTATCTAGACCCTTACCTGGATGACAGTTCATCATCTCAGAGGCAGGGGTCCTGACTGAGCTCTGACATCTCGCCCAGCATGGCTCCACTTACATCCTTCCTCAGCAGTGGGTGCTGACTTTACCCTTAACCGCTGCTCAGACCAAAATGGCTGGGGTCATAATTGATTCCTTTCCCATACATCCCTTAATAATACATCAGGGAATACAGTCAGCTCTCCGTTAAACTGCATCCTTTATGGGACCATTTGGCACTACCTCTACCTAGTTTGAGCCGTCATGACCTCCCACCTAAGTCAAGCAATGTCCTCGGCTATGGTTTGAGTGTGTCCCTAACTCCCTAATCCCAGGTGCTGGTGCTGGAGGCTTAAGTCTTCAGTGTGACGCTGATAAAAGGCAGCACCTACTCTGTAGTCTGAATGTCCTTAGAAGGGATTCAAGCAGTACTCATGGGACATGAGTTAGATATATTTTTAATATTTTGTTATCACTGTTATTAAAGGGCACCTAGGTGCCACACAGCACATGTGGAGGCCAGAGGACAACCCGTGGAGTTGGTCTTCTCCTTCCTTCTTTATGTGAACTCTGGGGGATTGAACACTTGTCCCAGATGTGTTCAGCAACTGCTTTTACCCACTGAGCTAGCTTGATGGCCCTGGAGTTAGTTTTTCCAAAAGTGGGTTCTTAGAAAAGCGAGCTCTACCACCGACTCTGTCTCCAGATTTTTTGATATGATCAGGCACGCCCCTACCACAGTGTCATCCATCATTAGGGGCTTTACCAGAGGCCAAATCCATAAGGACACGCTCATATTGGACTGTGTGTGTGTGTGTGTGTGTGTGTGTGTGTGTGTGTGTGTGTGTGTGTGTGAATCAACAACTGGGTCAACTTGCTATTCTAACTTAATTCATTAATTACAATTATAGATTCAAATGGTAAACTTATTTTTTAATATTTTATCTATTTTTTATTAATGCTTTGAGAATTTCATACAGTGTACTTTGATCATAGTCTCCCAGACACACCCAACTTTGTGTTCTCTTGTTTTGCTTCTTCAACTAGCAAATCCAGTTTGTGCTCCCCATATACTCCTGGATGTGTGGCCTTCCGCTGGAGTGTGGCTGACTTACTGGGGTAAAACTCTCAAAGAAACCGACTCCCCCTCTCCCAGCGGCTGTCAACTGCGGTAGCTCCGTGGTTAGGCATGGGTAGGAAAGTCCCACCTCCCCTCTCTGCTGGGATTTGGTCTAGCGTGGGCTTGCATAGGGCTGTGCCTCTACTCACAACTGCTCTAAGTTTGTATATGTAGCTGTCCTGCTGAGGTTGAGAGGCACTGTTTCCTTGTGTTCACCCTCCAGCTATGGCTTTTACAGTCTTTCTGCTCCCTCTTCTGAAATGATCCCTGAGCTTTGGGAGGAGGGGGATGCAATGTAGGGATGCCATACAGATGTCCCAGTTAGGGCTGAACATTCTGCAGTCTTTTATTCTCTGCTCCTTGGCCATTTGCTGGTCTCTGTGTTAATCACCATCTATATAGAAATAGAAGCTTCTCTGATTAGTATTGAAAGACACATTAATCTATGGGTATAAGACAAAGTCATTAGGAATCGGTTTAGTATTATGCCCATTTAGCAGAATAACAGAAGTAGGTTCTCCCAGAGGTTCTTGGCCTGACATTGGTACCAGGTATGGGTTTCATCTTATAGAGTGGGACTTAAATTCAACCAGAAAGTGGTTGGCTCTGCCCATAATGTTCATGCTACTACTTGTACATGGGCATGTCTTGCCAGGCCAGTTGTTATTGTAGCTTGTGGGGTTCATAGCTGGGTAAGATTGATGATTACTTTTCTCCTCTGGTAATGTGCTGTCTTAGGGTTTCTACTGTTATATGCTAAAACTCCATGACAAAAAACAACTTGGGGAGGAAAGGGCTTATTTCATCTTACAGTCCATCATCAAAAGAAGGTAGGGCATGAACTGGAGGTAGAAACCTGGACACGGGAGCTGACGCAGAGACCATGAAGGAGTGCTGCTAACTGGCTTGCTCTTTGTAGTTTGCTCGGCCTACTCTCTTATACATCCTAGGACCACGTGCCAGGGGTGGTACCACCTACACTAGGCTAGGCCCTTCCACATCAATCATCAATCATAGACCAACCGGATTTCCTGATTAAGATTTCCTTCTTCCCAGATGACCCACCCACCTTGTGTCAAGTTGACAAAGTTAGCCAGCACAATCGACCCCTGGTCAACTTCACACACACACTAAGGCCATGCCTTCTCTTTCTTGCTGTTCTTGGATATCATGTTACTACAAATATCACAAGGTAAAACATTCCTACTTTTATATTCAACACTTTTGTTTCTTTAAAACATCCAGGCTCTCTAAAACATCGAAACTCTCTCTAAAATACCCCAAATCTCTCTGAAATACCCAGAGTCTCTCTAAATATCCCAAATATTTGTAAAATTACCAAGTCTCTTAACTGTAAGCTCCTGCAAAACTAAAATAAGTTCAATACTTCTTATTATAACCAGGCGGAGTTTCAATCGGATCAGAGAAAACCAAGGTCCAACTGTGCAAAGCTCCATGCCAGACATTTGGCGCTCATGGTCTTGGACTTGGCAGTGGCACTTCTCCAGCTCTGCCATCGACAGCACACACAGCTTATCTCACAGACTCAGGTTGGCACCACCGTACTTGGTGGCCATCCCACCATCGTATTGGCATCTCCAAAATGCTGAGTTGTCCTGATGCAAATAGGCTGCACCGTCACCAATTGCCTCTCCTGGGCTCTCTTCATGGACTCTGATCCTGCCACATGGTGCCAAGCCTCAACTTTTCTTCATGACCCCCTCAATCCTGGGACTTCTACTAAGTCTGCACCTTCACCCATGGTTCTCCTGGCCTTTCTTCAGGGACTCCAGCCTGCCACACAGCATCAAGCCTCAACTTCTCTCAATGATCCCTCATGCCTTCAAAACCAGTACCACCTGGGTAACTCTTATACCTTACTAAAGTTGGCTTCCAGCAAAAGGTACAGCCTCATCCAACCCTGGACCACAGTCTCTGTGTGCTGACCCTGAGAAAATACTCACAGAAGATTTCATCTCCCAGTTGCTGCTGTCTGTCTGTCTGTCTGTCTCCTGTTTTTTTGAGACAGGGTTTCTTTGTTTAGCCTTGGCTGTCCTGGTACTCGCTCTGTAGAGCTTCAAACTCACAGAGATCCTCCTGCCTCTGCCTCCCGAGTGCTGGGATTAAAGGTGTGTGCCACTACACCTGGCTTGCTGGGCTCTTTTTAGTGACCACTAATTTCTCAGCTCCTGCTAACCAGCATTGATTGTCCCAGGAAAGTGAATGTTTTGCTTTAGTAGCTCTTCATTCAAAATAACATAAATAGCTTTGATAGAGTCGTTAAGGGACTTTAAAATGTCCCTCTGGAATTTTACAAGCCAGCCCTCCATCATCTGCATTGATCTCAACATTATTTTCCAAGCTCCTACAGAACAGCCCAGCGAGCTCTGAGCACTCAACAGCTTTCCCGAAGTTCCAATGGTACCACAATCCTTCCCAAAACACACGACCAGGTCAGTCACAGCAATCTGTGATCTGGCACTAATTTCTGGCTTGGGGTTTCTATTGCTGTGCTAAAACACCATGACCAAAAGCAGCCTGGGGAGGAAGGAGTTCATTTCATGTTACACTTCCGCATTACAGTCAACCAGCCAAGGAAGTTAGGGCAGGAATCGGGGGCAGGAAGCTGGAGGCAGGAACTGACACAGAGACCATGAAGGAGTGCTGCTGACTAGCTTGCTCCTCATGGTTTGTGCATCCTACTTTCTTATATACCCCAGGACCACCTGCTCAGGGGCAGCCCCACCCACAATCTCATATCAATCAAGAAAATGCCTGACAGCTTGCCTACAGGCCAATCATATTCTTACTAAGATTCCCCTTGCCCAGATGACCCTATTTGTGTCAAGTTGACAGAAAGT